GGAAGGAAATCAAAAGCTGAAAGGGATTTTCTGTCATGTCCACTGTGCTGGTTTGGGCATTTCTTTGCTTCCCTCATTGAAGCAGGGTGGACCTGCCCTGTGCTACTGGCACCAGCTGGGAAGCGAAGTGGTTATGAGGATTGTGTACCTGTAGGTTGCAGATAGGAAAGGGAGGACCAGAAAGAATAACTTACCAGCAGGAGTGGGAGATCAGCAGATGTCAGCATAAAGACATACTTTCCCTTGGTTTCCCTTTAACCTAGCTGAAAAGATTGGGTCCTGCCTGTCACTCATAGAAACACAGCTGGAGCTTCCTCCCCTCCAAAATGCCTACTTCCCCCTCTAGGATAGCAGCACGTAAAGCTATATATGGAGTAATTATTTCATGCCCCAGATATCACCTGTCCCCCACTCCCTTACACATGCCACACCCCCACCCTCAGGATTCGTGTTCTACATTTCTGAGGCAGCAACTTAGATTTTGCATTTTTAATAATCTCTACAGATCATTCTGATGAACAGCCAGGGTTGAGAACTGATGTCTGAAGGGCTAGTAACAAATGTATGATTTTTGAATCCTTGAATACTTGTTTTTTCTAAGTGTGTCCTAAGATTTTACTGTTTCTTTTCCTGAAATGTATTTGTTGATTTATTGAGTCATTGATTGATTTATTAGTTCATGTATATACTGAGTCTACTAAGTCCCAGGAATTGTACTAAGTGAGGCTAAGGAGGGTACGCCGATAAATAAGAAAAAATTTTAATATAAGATGACAGCTATGACTGAGATAAATTCAGCAACGAGGGGGAGCTCTTAGCCTAAGGAACGCAATCATGGCATGACTAAAACATGAATGGGACACGTCAGTTTGGGCAGCACGGGTGCCCCTGTCCTTGGTGCTGAACCTGCTGCGTAGGGTAAGGACATTTTCCCCTAACACCTGGCTTCTGATGATTTCTCTGCTACCTATCCACTAATTTTGAACCAGCTGAGGAGAGAGGTAGAAAAAAATGAAGGAATACAGATATAATCAGATTAAAGAGGTTGTTGGAGGGATAGCCACTGAGTTATTGACTCAGTGATGTGGGAATTTGGGGAAGTAGGGAGTAGAGTCTTCAAATTATTTCGAAAAATAAAGTTTCTGCAGTACATTATGGAATATTATACTTATGAAACCAGAGACCTTCCAGAAGTACTAACAACCTGAAATCAGTCCTGAAATGACATCTTTAGGTGAAGGGGTCAGAGATTCCAACAGTCTGTATCCTCCTCCAACCCTGAGCAGGGTGTATTACAAAGCTGTTAGTTCACACTCTTGCCATTGGTGACATCTGACACGTGGCACTGGAAGGCACAGCCACAGGTTCCCCCGTGACACGCTGAGAAGCAGGGGCTGAACAACTGCTGAAGCACAGAGCAGCCCGTTCGCGCCCTCTGAGAACCTGCCCCTCGCTGTCCGCCCTGCCTTTCTGGGGCCAGATTTTGGATCCAAAGGCTTACTATTAGATACACCTGGACTAACAAACGAAAACGGATTTATTAAGGAAAATGAGTGCCAACATGGCCTGGAATGGTGAAACGAGGCAACTTTCAATACGTCCAACGTGAGAACCACACACGATGTCTTTCTTACTTGAAACATTGGAATCAAAATGTTAATTTCCGACGAGCACAGACACAGAGCATTTTGACGAACTCTATCTTCATGAGGAAGAAAAATGTTCACTTAAGACAAGTAAAATGCTCTTTTCTTTGGCTATTTTGAAAAACTTACTAAAATACCAGAGTTTCAAATTCGCTAAAAAACCCACCCTTATCCTGATCTAACTACTAACATCAATCCTGAAATAGGTAATGTGCAGAAAAAAAGCAACATCTAAAAATTCCACCTCCCCTCTTCCCACTCCAAAGTTTCATTTAAAATACATTGGGAAATCTTTCTTTAGAGCAGCAAATGAATGGCGTCTCGGGTCACTCAGCTACTAACAAACCTAAGACCTTAGGGCAGAAGCAAGCCAGGCGCTTAACTGTGCATGCTGGGATTCCTAGTTCAGGTCGCTTCCGTTTTGAAGAGGAGTCTCATGTTCATACTGTATCTGTGTACGTGCTGCCTCCTAGTGGAGCTCGGTTGGAACTGTTAAGTCCAAGTAGAAGGTGAAAAGTGGAAAGCATTTTACAGCTTACTTAGGATGTGGAAATCATTTCCTTCACTTTAAGTTTAATCTCTCTCTAAGTCCTTGTCGTTTGTTTGCACCTACTATGTGCTGTTCTGAGGTTCACAAGATATAATAAGCCAGGCCCTGGACAGTGTGCACAGTGGTTAGAGCCTCGGCCCAATCACCTAAGGGTCTCGGGTTCGATTCCCAGTCAAGAGTAGCAGATGGGTTGCAGGTTCCATCCACGGGTGGTTCAGGGCTTACGTGGGAGGCAACCAATCAATGTGTCTCTCTCACATTGATATTTCTCTCACCCCTCTCTCCCTCCCTTTCACTATCTAAAAATCAATGGGAAAAATATCCTCGGTGAGGATTAACAAAAATATTGAGCCAGAAATTGCCTGTGGAAGATAGCAGCAACAAAATAGAAGGAATCCAGGTCATTGAAGATGCTGGGGCCTTCCACCAAGTAGATTGATTTTTTATTGATTTCAGAGGAAGGGAGGAGAAATAGAAACATCAATGATGAGAGAAAATCATTGATTGACTGCCTCCTGCACACCTCACACTGGGGATCTAGCTCGAGCCCACACCCTGGGTATGTGCCCTGACTGGGAATCAAACCGTGACCTCCTGGTTCATAGGTCGATGCTCAACCACTGAGCCATGCCGGTGAGACCCTAGATTGTTTTGAGTTAGGGAAATAAAAATTGTCTAGTGGTTAAGGTATAGTTGCGGTTATTCTGTCACGCTCAGTTTATTCTAATCACTAATACGTGTTTAGTCATTGATTGACTGCCTCCTGCACACCTCACACTGGGGATCTAGCTCGAGCCCTAGACTAACTCCTCTGGAGTTTTAAGTGAGGCAGAAGAGAACAGGTATCAGATCAAAAAGAAGGGACTAGGTCAAGTGGGCCCTCTATGCTAGGCTTAATAACTGGCATTTTATCCGGCATTTCATTGGGCAGAATGATTGTGTAGGTTATTTGTGCATGTAATATAGAAGTTGGCTTACTCAACACTCACCCCTTTTCCATGCCTGTTACTTTCGAAAGGCCAGAAAGCAAAACTCTCAATTCCTGCTAGAGTTGGCTGGCCAATGAAATGTAGTCTGGAATTTCTGAGGGCTTCTCTCTTAGAGAGGTGAGGCTTCTCTGAAAGGCTTTTGACTTTTGCTCTCCCGACTCCTTTCTCCTGGAATGCAGCTATGATGCCTTGGGACACAGCAGCCACTTTGTGACTTGGTGTGAGGTCAGAGGCACACAGTAAAGACAGCAAGGTAAGAAAAGGGACCTGTTTCCTTGAAGACGACCTCAAGGTAAGAGCCCTAGACTAACTCCTCTGGAGTTTTCATGTGAGAAAAATAAACTTCTTTAGATTCCCTTTTTCCTTTAGGTTTTTTGTTCTTGGAGCTAAGTGTGTTCATAACAGTCATAGTGCTTGAGAACATTGTGGAGTCAGAAAGATGAAGGTAGGTTCCTATCTCTTCCCCAGTTAAGTCACTTAACTCCCAAACCTGCTTTTCTCACCTGTGAAATGAAGTTAACTATAGCACCTACCTCAGGGAAGGAAAGCATGTAAAACCACCAGCACAAAGTGTTCCATTTGAACTTAATGTTATTATTAGAAATGAAATAATGGATAGCAAAAATTGTCCTTTAAAAATTTTTAAAATAAGAATATTAACAAAGAGAGAGAAACTATAAAAAAAAGAACCAAACAAATTCTGGAGCTGAGGAGATTGAAAAATACACTAGAGGGGCTCAACAGCAGACTTGATCAAGCAGGAGAAGAATCAACAAAGTTGAAGACAGGTCATTGGAAGTTATCCATTCAGAGAAGCAAAAAAGAAAAAAAAAGTGAAGAGCCTAAGGTACTTGTGAGACATCAGCAAGTGGACCAATATATGCACAGTGGTACTGCCAGAAGATAATGGTAAAACACTTCCCAAATCTGAGGAAGGCAATGGACATCCAAATTCAGAGTCAAGCAACATTCTACTAGACTGGACACCTGAAGACTGACTGTGTTTTTAATGGCCTCAAGGTAGTTTTATTACCCAGGTGTGCTTACCTACTAATTTGCATTCTTTTTATTCAGTAGAGGAGCAGATATTGCAAAGAATCAAATCTGCAACTCTGTTATAGTGTCTTGTTTGGGTAAGTGTGGAAAGGAGAAACAACACTCCCAGGGTACAGACCTGGGGGAGAAGAGAGGATTTGAGGGACAATTTCTTCTTAGCCCCAGAAATTGCTATGATAGTATGTTAAGCAAAAACATGCAATACATTGACTAAAAATGACAGCTATGATGTACTTCATAATTTCTTTCTTGGAAATGAATCTTACCAAAAAGGCCTTGAAATGACTAACTCTGTTCTGAACTTTATGTAACTTGTTTTGTGCTTTTCCAGTCTTGTGATACAAAATATCGGATACTCTCTGAAATCATAGTCCTTGACCTCATAGAGAGTCATAGAGCCCTTTGAGAAGATGATAAAAGAAAGTATAAACCCAAGTATCCTAGAAAAATGAATCCGCACACAAGCTAACCATTTTTCAGGTTTTACAGCCTGCATGAAGCTCATTCACAGATGCCTTGAATATGTGGGGCTCAGGTTTAGAACACGGTATTTAGATAGAAACTCTGGTGCCGTTTCCTCGTCTCTAAAATAAAGGGTAGAATGACATAGTAATCCTTTCACCTGGGAGTAAAGAGCAATAGAGTACATAATTCAGGAACAAACAAACCAATTTAGAGTGCTTATATAGGAAATGGGCTGGGTGGGTAACAGAAAAGTTTTGTAGTTACTACAGTAAAAGGAAGATTAAGACTAGAAAATAAAAAAATGGTCATAGCATTTACTATCCCATAACAATTTAAATCCAGAAAGCATGTGCATTTTTCCCTAGCAATTACATCACTTAAAAATATTTTTATTATTGATAGTATTACAGATGTCCCCCATCCTCCCCTCCTCTACCTTCCTCCGGCCAGCCCCTCCCCATCCATGCCTTCACTTCCCTATTGCCAGTGTCCACAGGGTATCAGTTCTTTGGTGTATCTCTTCATCTCTCTACCCCCTCACCGAGGCATGTCAGTCTGTTCCATGCCTCCATGCTTCAGATCTTATTTTGTTGGTCGATTCATTTTGTTCATTAGCAAAATTCTAAATATTAACAAATGAGACAGGAGAACCAAAGATATCCTAAATATCCTACCAGAAAAGCATTAGTTAATATTATAGGAGTTGGATTCAGTACTAATTACTGACTGAATGTTCAAGGTACTAAACAAAGAATTTATAATTTTGTTAAGTTCCATGTGGATAATGCTACAGTAATACAAATGGATATAAGTTAAAGTTTCCTTCAATAACTTTATTCTTTAAAAATATATAAATAAATAAGACAGTTCCACTTCTTAGTATGACATTCAAGACGACGACATTGCTATCACCTAAACTACTAGAATGCCTCAATCTCCTGTTCCTTCACCTTTCAATCTAGTGGCAAAACTAAAACAGAACTGAAATTAAGTTGTACTGTGACATAATCGCCAGGCATAGACACATGAAGTAACAGCGGAGGAATGCGGGGCCCGGAAAAGTGACAGGTGACTACTGCATCTTGCACTCCGGCAGGTGCTTTTCTGAGAAGGCCTGACAAGCAGCTGACTGAGGATCCACATTCTCCCCTCCAGCAGCTGGCTCTTCTAAGGAAAGAAAATAAAAAACAGAAGCAACCTTATTTAAAAAATACACAAAACTCAAGTACAACTGGAAATGCAAAGGATGTTAAGACAGTGGAGATATGAAAAATGAAACATGGCAACATGATCATTAACATCCTCATGTCCAGTCATGAAAAAAGGTGTATTTCACTTCATCAGAGACAGAGAAGTTTATTCTCCATTTTCCCATACAATGAATTGTGAGAAGAACCATGCTGTATATAAAACCAAGGAGTGATAAAGTCATATTTGATTTCATAAATTTGAGATAAAAAGTGAATCAAACATGGATTAAGTTTTTCTTTTGTCCTAATTTTAGAAAAAAAAATGGTGTGTTAAAACAGTTTAGAGAATATTGAGACATCTTTGGAAAACTCTGAGCCTTTAAAAGCACTTCAGCTGCATCTATTTGTTTATGAACCGTATACAGTACAGCCAACCCTTGAACAACAGGTTTGAACTGCACAGGAAAACTTATATGTGGATTTAAAAAAAAGTTTTTATTGATTTTTGAGAGAAAGGGAGGATAGAAACATCGATGAGAGAGAAACATCATCAATTGGCTGCCTCCTGTACTCCCTTGCTGGGGATCGAGCCCCCAACTCGGCACTGAGCCTCACTGACTGGGCTACATGAGGATTTTTTCAGTGAATAACTATAAATTATTTTCTCTTCTTTATGAGTTTATTAACATTTCATTTTTTCTAGCTTACTTTATTATAAGAATACAGTATATAATACATATAACATACAAAATAGGTGGTAATTGACTATGTTACCAGTAAGACTTCCAGTTAACACTAGGTTATTAGTAGCTGTTTCTACAGGAGTCAAAAGTTACTTGGATTTTCGAATGTGCAGGACGGTCAGCACTTCTAAACCCTCACATTGTTCAAGGATCCACTGTAAATCTAGCTTAACTGCTCTGGCCAGTCATCTCAAGTTCTTGAGATAATTAAAAACTGACAAAATTTTTTAGACTGTCATTTTACTAATTTAAGTGGGACTATGTCTTTTAATTCTGAATCGGTAAGTTTTTTTGATTTGTATATTCCTCCAGCCTACTCTTTTGTTAATTTCACTTTTGTTCATTTCACTGAAAAATAGTACCAGAGAGATCTGTTATTGATAAATAGACTGAAACAGATTTATTTGTGGTTGGATTGCTTCAGGCATTGTCAGATAAAGAGAGAAGGGTGGTTATAAAAATTTCTATTTTTCCAAACTCTTCTAAAATAGTGTGTATGTATACAGCAAAAGTTCCATATAAGTGTTAGCTAATGGAAGGTCTTAAATGGTTGTTAAATACTACTCCATGAAGTGAATAGTTTAAAAAAAAATTCAGAATGTTCTGTGTCTTACAATACCCCCAAGAGCATGTTCAGACTGCTGATGACAGAATTTGGATGTGTGGTCAATGAGAATCGGTTTCTTAGAATAGGTAAGATTTCTTCATCACAAAGCAGAGCTCTGATAAACCCTGACTAGATGATTTGGCAGGTGCCTTTCTTGGTGTACGATTTTGTTGCTTTAGATGTCTACAGCTGTGTAATAGGGCGTTTCAGACGGGCAGACACACTGTCACACAGGGCTCAGCCCCGCACACCTGGGCACGCTGAATGCCATGTGGTGAGAAAGACTACAAGCAACACATTACAGAGCTTCCCTTGCCATGACCACCTAGTGCAGCACCCCTGCAGAGCTGGGAGTGAGCCTTGACACCGCCCCACTCCCTCCCACCAGGCCCCCAGCACTGCTGACTTTACTTCCAGATCTCTCCCATCTGCCTACTTCTCTCCACCGCTGGTGCACTTGCCCAAGTCCACACTACTGTCATTCTTGCTGAGGCAACTGTCAGTGTCTTGCTCTTATTCTTTGCTGGTTACCTCACAGCAGAGGTAATGTTTTCAAAATGTGTGACTCACTATGTTCCCTGCCATTATTTAAAATCTTTCAAAGGCTTTCTCTACATGCTTTCAGGAAGGAGTAAAACTCCCTCTGTGTGCTCTAAAAAGCCCCACAGCTTGGCTCTTCTCTCTCCCACTTCCCTGACTTCATCCCCACAGGCCAGTGCTCACTGTGCTCTGGCCACCAGTGTCTTCCCAACCTTCCCTGTTGTGGTCCCTCCTACTGATAGGGGACCCATATCTGATAGAGCACCTGAATTAATCTGAAAAATAATCACATTATTTTAAATCTTAGAACACATATATTTATGTGAATAGGGTGTTACGTTTTTCTTAGAGTTTCCTTTCCAAGGCCTGTGCGAAGCGATTGAGGAGGTGACTCAGCTGTGAATCCAGCAAGCAGAGCCAATAAGCATGGTCAGACCAGGAGTCAAAACATCATCTCAGCAACATCATCTCATCGCCTGATGTCTACAATAGCTGACGTCTGTGGACCCCCAGGCCTGCAGGTAGCACTAGCCCCTTCCCCTTTATAATCCTGTCCCCTGTACCTTGCTGGGAAGGCAGGATTTGATGCTTGTAAGCGCCCTGTCTTCTTGGTCGGCTGGCCTTTTCAATAAACGCCTAGTATGATTCAACCCTTCCTTCATTATCGGACACAGCGACAGGCAGCCCAAGCCCAACTGGGGTTTCCTGGTAACATTACCCTGGGGCTGTCACTGTTCCATCTGCCTGAATGCCTTTCCCTCTCCTCTTTGTTAAGCTAACTCACACTAACCTCTTACATCTCAGTTCCCTTCTTAAAGGAGACTGCCTTAACATTCATGGAACAAAAACCTACGATAAGCCTTAGAGTCTGGTGCACTCTTAGAATGTTACCCTTTGTGGACTGCTTGATTCCCAACTATACTGCAAACTCCAGTGCGCGGGGACCATGTCTGGTTTTGCTCATCTATGTACCATCGGGGTCTAATGTGTGGCACATAGTTGGTCAAAATATTGTTTACTGAATGAATTAATAAGCAAATGATACAAGCCAATGAATATAATGCTATTGGGACTACTGGCCCACTGAATGGATGAGAAAGTCTTTTTCAGTAAAAGTTTTGTATATAGGGCAGTGTCTTTACGTCCTTGAGAGAGTTGCTTTGTCTATCTTTGGGAAAAGCTTGAGGGTTTAAGAGGCAGAATAAAGTCTTCACTTGGAGCGACTGGACCTCAGTGCTGGGCTTTGGAGAAACTCTCACAAAGACAGCAAATGAAGGCTGTCACACCACCGGCTCACCTCCTCCTTCTCGTCAAAACTTGCCCTTTGGGGCCACATAGTACAGTTAAGTCCCAACTGTTACCCCTGATTCCCAAGGAACCAGTACATATTTACCCACCTGGACAAAGGCCTAAACCTGAGTTATCAAAATAGCGAACTGGATGGGGTATCGGCTGTCAAAAAACCGAGATTTTGGTGATTCCTTTGGCACAGGATCTTGTAAATTCTGCTCCTTGCACTGAGAAGGTGGTCGGTGTCTCTTTTCAGAAGCTGTTCTTTTTGGAGTCTTTGGAGAATTCTCACAAGTTACATCTTTGAGAGCCTCATTGGAAAGATGATGATTATTGCTTAAATGGGGGGTGGTGGGGGAAGAGGAAGAGAAAGAAGACTGTAAGACTACAACAAACCAGATTCCTAAATTGGATTTCCTTATAGACCTCGAGTAGCCAGAGATGCTACTTGATCTCACCAGGACCCAGCTTCAAATCCTGCAGTGGAGATCATCCTCCTATTACATCTAGGATACCACCCAAACTTCCTCAGAAAGATCTATGAGGGCCTGTGGAATCTAGCACCTATGGCACCTTATCTTGCATTTGTCTCATTCTCTATGCTCTGGCCACAGTGGATGTCTTTCAGTTCCACCTAACTGGTTATTCTTTCTCACTCACAGCTTGTGCACATGCTGTTCTGTGGGCCCAGGAGGCTTACCGATCCCTCCTTTTATCCAGCTCAACTTGTACTCATTATCCAGATTTATTCATAGATTAGTCTCTTGATCACCAGCTTTCTTTATCACTTAAAGTTTGATCCTCTGGTAAACTCTTTCATTTGTTTAACAACACTCATTAGAAAGAATTAGTTATTTGTGTAATTATTTGATGCCTATTTTTCTTCTACTATATCATTAGTAGACTAGAGGCCCGGTGCATGAAATTTTGTGCACTGGGGGTGGGGTGTCCCCTCAGCCTGGCCTGCACCCTCTCACAGTCTGGGACTCCTCGCTCCTTACTGCCCACCTTCAGTGGAGGCGGGAGAGGCTCTCACCACCACCACTGCACTTGCCAGCTGTGAGCCCGGCTTCTGGCTGAGCGGCACTCCCCCTGTGGGAGTGCACTGACCACCAGGGGGCAGCTCCTGCATTGAGTGTCTGCCCCCTGGTGGTGTGTGTCATAGTGACTGGTCGTTCCGTCGTTTGGTCTGTTTGCATATTAGGGTTTTAATATATAGGATTAGCACAGGATTCTAATCTTTGGTAGAAGCCAAATAAGTTTGTTAAAACTGCTTGTAAAGTAAAAGGAAGCAGGTTACAAAAATGGTCCTAAGGAGTCCTCTATTGAGTAAGGACTTATGACTTTGGTATATGGACATGTAGTATATTTAAGCTGCCCCCTCAAAGATCTCTGTTCACATCTTGGTTCTTGGCTTAGTCAAAAAGAGGTCAGTTGACTGATAGTAAACATCTGGACTAGTGTTACCATATTCTTATTCCTTTTAAAGGAGACACATTACATGAACTCTAAAAATTACTTTCCCCATGTTCGAAGGGTTGCTAATTGCAAAAAACATATATGTATGGATATATACTTTCCTCCCCAACATGTAACAGCCATAAACATAATTTCTGTACCATGTAAGCAGCTCTTACCTTAATGGTTCATTCTTTTGGTGTATTAGCTGTTCATTTTGCTGCTTCAATTTAGAAATTTCCTTTTTTAGTCTTACATTTTCACTTTTCAAAATAAGAGCTTTTGTGCTTTGTACAATGCCATTGCCACCCCCACATGTGAGGGGTTTATTGGAAGGTTTAGAATCATTAACTTCTAGTACAACTGTGGGAGGCAAATAAAGGAAACATTACTAAATGCAATAAGTCATTCTAAAACCCAACACATCTCAACCACCATCTCCTTGGAAATCATCCTTGAATTCCTTCTTCTTTCTGACTTCCAATGCCTGTCCATCATGAATTCTAAATATCTCTAGATTTCTTCCCGCTGTTCTCCATCCACCAATTTTGCTACCATAATCCTGCTGAAGCCTTTCCCCATGACTGCACAGCAGCAACCCTCTCTAATTAGAGTTGTCCTCCGCTGATCTATCTCTTGCATCAGAGGAATCACCTGAAGGGCTTTTTCCAACACAGAATGTGTGTGTGGGGCCCACCCAGCCACTCAGTGCACTGTAAATACTCAACACATACTTGTTAACTAAACAAACCTTAGAATTATGTTAAAGCATATATTATCCTATATTCTACACTATATGTATAAAAAAAGTGGTATGAGGAATTGTTTTGTAAATTTTAGGTAAAACTGCATAAAAATGTGAGTAGCTTAGAAGAGTCCACTAAATAATTAGAAATAATCACTGATAATTATAAAGGGGTTAAAGTGTGAAGATACTCAATGTCCATTTTGTTTTGAATTATTTTGATTTCAGGCACAAGGTATACCTACAAATCACTTACTATTCAAGAACCATTATCCTGACCCTAATGTAACAACAAAGAGTCCTCGTTCTATTTTTACCCATTGAAGTTTCCCATGTAGGAGCTGCAATAGGCAGTAGGGACATTCAACTAAATTATGTTCTAGACAACATCTTTAACACTATCTCTAATTTCTTTTTTAAGTAAACAGACAATACACACAAATACCATCTTACATTTGCTTAACATTTAGAATATTCATTGTGCTTTCATACACCACTTTTAGCGTGATCCTCACATGTGTACACACTTATGCTAGAAGGTCAGGTGTGGTCCCCTCGATTTCTCACAGCCATTAAGTGAGGGCAATCAGTTGAGAGCCCTGCCCCTGACTTCTGGTTCATTGCTTGGTACATTATATGAAGCTGCCCAAGTACTGTTCAGCAGTCTCTCTTGGAAGATGAAACAAAAGAGATAGGGATATGGAATAAAGTATAGTTTGAGGAATGTATATGCAGAAATTTGATTATTAGATTTGATAACTATACCTAAGATAAATTTTAAAGAGTTTACAAGTAAGCATAAACCCTGTATTTTCAGTATTAAGAACAAGTAGGATATTTACTTATTTGTATTATGCACTGATTATATTTTACTATGTATAATATTAAAATCTATTAAGATATGTTTGGATTTTTATTGGGAAGGTACTTCTATCTTGATAGTTAAGTCATTCTTTTATAGTACTGAATATCTTCCCTAATATGTAAAGATCTGATAATGCAATGGTAAAATTAATATTTTTCAAGAACCTATACTGGGTAAACAGCTGACATTATAGGAGATGTCACAAGAGAAATATAATTGCAATAAATACATTTTAAAAGCAGTTCTTTCTAAATTAGTGATTTGTTCTTGACTATCACATATATAATAGTAGTTCTCAAAATGTATAAGTGTATTGAGAAGTAAAATGGACAGGACCTGGAAATACCAGCAGTTTCTACTTACTTGAGGTATCTTGGGCTTGTTGATTTCTTCTAAGATTTTCTCTCAATACCCTATAGCTTCTTTTTGATATTCTACAGTGGCTTTTGTAGAAGCAATTCTAATGAAAACAACAATAGATATATGTAAGAACCCAGCAACTAACTTTTAATAGAAGAATACACAGAACTGCTGACAAGAATTTTCTATTAAGGTATATCACACTGACATAATATCCTGGTATCATGCACTTTGTAGCTATAATACCATCAAATTGGAAGTATCCTGTTTGCTTTCAGGGGCAATGATTTAACATTGAGAAACCAACCTTTTAAATTTGTGGAAGCTCAATAGCTATTAATTGGATATTAGTTTCATTAAAACCAGTAGTGTTATCAATGGAAGACTGATTAGAATGCATAAAGATTCAGAGTGCTATCTTTTGGCACAAATTTATATATATTATCATTAAATATTTATTAAAGATTTATAGGAAGAATAAAGTGTTAGAAATCAGAAGGGATCTTGAAATCTTCTAATACAAATCTATCCTTTTATTGATTATTACTGAGGAGCAGAGAGATTAAACAACTTGCATATTGATATATTAATAAATGGCAACATTATATTTCTCATTCAGGTTACCCAACTTTCTTTTGATGTTATCTTCATCATGCTATACCACAATGAACTTGAGGCATGCTAGTATGTGCAGTATCATACATAGATAAAGCAACAAGAGGACATGCTTTTGAGCACTAGATACTATAATTTCAAAGGAATTACAGGGTGTGGTAAAAGTAGGTTTATAGTTGTGAATATGGGAAACAGTTTATTCTTGTAATATTAATTATTGTATTATTTTCCATATGAAAAACTGTGAACCTACTTTTGCCCCACCCTATACAACCTTTACATAAAAACACAATAGGAAGAACAAATGAAACTGAGAAGCAACAGAAACCTTAGTCAAACTGCTAAATACAGCTTCATTCTTGAAAGAACTTTCTTCAGAGAAACGCCAAAGTTTTACCAACATTAGACAGTTTTCTTAAAAATATATACATGAATCTTCAGGATTTAAACTGCTTCTTTCAAAAAACTCCAGCCAATTCATCCAAAATAGGAGCAGCCACTGCCACCCAGGGTCCAGCCACTGAACGATTCAACAACTAGTAATGTCAGTGAGATCAAACATGGGTAGACAAAGAAACCCCCAAAGGAAAGAAAAGGAGGACTCGCCAGAAAAGCAGCTAAGTGAGACAGAGATATGCAACATGACGGAAAAAGAATTCAGAATAAGGTTCCTAGAGTACATGCACCGGATGTTCAAGAAGCAAGAAGAAACAGATGAAAAACTCAACTACGTATGCAAGAAGCTAGAAGAAACAGGTGAAAAAATCAACAACTTAAGTAAGTCCCAAGAAGAAATGAAGAGCGACATAGCTGCAATAAAAAACACCATTGAAAGTATCAACAGTAGACTGGGAGAAGCGGAGGACCGAATCAGTGAATTAGAAGACAAGAAAGCAAAACACACTCAAACTGTACTGCAAATGGAGAAAAAAATTAAAAGGCAGGAGGAGAGCCTAAGGGAACTTTGGGACAACATGAAACGAAGCAACATACGAATAATAGGGGTGCCAGAACAACAGAAAGATGAACATGGATTAGAAAACCTATTCGAAGAAATAATATCAGAAAACTTCCCTGAGGTGGGGAAGAAAAAAGTCACACAAGCCCAGAGAGTCCCAAACAAGGTGAACCCGAAAAGACCCACACCAAGACACATCATAATTACCATGGCAAATGTTCAGGATAAAGAGAGAATCTTACAGGCTGCAAGAGAGAGGCGGAAAGTAACATACAAGGGATCTCCCATTAGATTATCAAATGATTTCTCAACAGAAACACATCAGGCCAGAAAAGAATGGACGGAAATCTACAAAGTGATGCAAAGCAAAGGACTGAATCCAAGAATACTCTATCCAGCAAGGCTATCATTCAAAATTGAAGGGGAAATAAGAAGCTTCACAGACAAAAAAGGGTTAAGGGAGTTTATCACCACCAAGCCAGCCATGCAAGAAATGCTAAAGGGACTGTTGTAAAAGAAGAAATATCAAGCTCAGAAAGAAAACAGCCACACACACACACAAAAAAGAAATGGCTACAAACAAGTACCTTTCAATAATAACTTTAAATGTAAATGGACTAAATGCTCCAAATAAAAGACACCGAGTGGCTGAATGGATAAAAAAACATGACCCATACATCTGCTGTCTACAAGAGACCCACCTCATTGGAAAGGACTCACACAGACTGAAAGTGAAGGGATGGAAAAATATCTTCCACGCAAATGGAAAGGAAAAGAAAGCTGGGGTAGCAATACTTATATCTGACAAAATACATCTCAAAGTGAAGGCCATAACCAGAGATAAGGAAGGCCACTTCATAATACTAAAGGGATCAATACAACAAGAAGATATAACCCTGGTAAACATATATGCACCCAATGCAGGAGCACCCACATACATAAGAAAACTTCTGGAAGATATCAGGGGAGATATCGACAATAACACAATCATAGTAGGGGACTTTAATACACCACTGACATCACTGGATAAATCCGTTAGACAAACAATCAGCAAAGAAACAGCAATCCTAAATGACTCACTAGATCAGATGGACTTAATTGACATCTTCAGAACACTACACCCCACAGCTGCGGAATATACATTCCTCTCAGGTGCTCATGGGACATATTCAAAAATAGACCACATATTGGGTCACAAGCAAAGTCTCCACAAATTCAAGAAGATTGAGATCATAAAAAGCATCTTCTCAGACCATGATGGCATAATGTTAGAAATAAACTACAATAAAAACAACCCAAAATACTCAAACACTTGGAAGCTGAATAGCATGTTATTAAATATTGATTGGGTTACCGATGACATCAAAGAAGAAATTAAAAACATCCTGGACACTAATGACAATGAAAACACAACAATCCAAAACTCTGGGACACAATGAAAGCAGTCCTGAGAGGGAAGTTTATAGCTCTACAGGCCTATCTCAAAAAACAAGAAAAAATGGTAGTTAATCATCTAACTCTACAACTCAAAGAATTAGAAAGAGAGCAACAAGAAAACCCCAGAGTGAGCAGAAGGAAGGAGATAATAAAGATTAGAGCAGAAATCAATGACATAGAGACCAAAAAAACAATACAGAAAATCAATGAAACCAAGAGCTGGTTCTTTGAAAGGATAAACAAGATTGACAAACCACTCGCCAGGCTCACCAAGAAGCAAAGAGAAAGGTCCCAAATAAACCAAATCAGAAATGATAGAGGCGAAATAACAACAGACCCCACAGAAATACAAATGATTGTTAAACAATACTACGGACAACTCTACTCCAACAAACTAGACAACCTGGAGGAAATGGACAAATTCCTAGAAAAATACAACATTCCAAAACTCAATCAGGAAGAATCTAAAAACCTCAATAGGCCAATAACTATGGAAGAAATTGAAGCAGTCATCAGAAAGCTTCCAGCAAACAAAAGTCCAGGGCCAGACGGCTTCACAGGGGAGTTCTACCAAACATTCAAGGAAGAACTAAAACCTACCCTCCTCAGACTACTACAAAAAATTCAAGAGGAAGGAACACTTCCAAGCTCATTCTATGAAGCCAGCATCACCCTAATACCAAAACCAGGTAAAGACAACACAATGAAAGAGGATTACAGGCCAATATCCCTCATGAACATAGATGCCAAAATCCTCAACAAAATCTTAGCAAATCGGATCCAGCAGTACATCAGAAGGATCATACACCATGACCAAGTAGGATTTATCCCAGAGATGCAAGGATGGTACAACATCCGTAAATCAATAAATGTGATACATCACATAAACAAATTGAAAGAAAAAAACCACATGGTCATATCAATTGATGCAGAAAAAGCATTCGACAAAATCCAACACCCATTTTTGATAAAAACTCTCAGAAAGGTGGGAATAGAAGGATCATACCTCAACATAATAAAAGCCATATATGACAAGCCCACAGCCAACATCATACTCAATGGTCAAAAACTAACACCATTTCCCCTAAGAACAGGAACAAGACAGGGATGCCCACTCTCACCACTCCTGTTCAACATAGTACTGGAAGTATTAGCCATTGCAATTAGGCAAGAAGAAGAAATAAAAGGCATCCAAATTGGAAAAGAGGAAGTAAAACTGTCCTTATTTGCAGATGACATGATATTATACATACAAAACCCTAGAGACTCCATCAAAAAGCTACTAGACTTAATACATGAATTTGGCAATGTAGCAGGATACAAAATTAACCCCAAGAAATCTGAGGCATTTCTATACACCAATAGTGAACTTTCAGAAAGAGAGATTAGAAAAACAATCCCATTTACCATCGCACCAAAAAAATTAAGATACCTAGGAATAAACTTAACTAAAGAGGTTAAAGACCTCTACTCAGAAAACTACAGGACGCTGAAAAAAGAGATAGAGGAAGACATAAACAGATGGAAGAACATACCATGTTCTTGGATTGGTAGAATCAACATCATTAAAATGTCCATACTACCCAAAGCAATCTATAAATTCAACGCACTTCCCATTAAAATACCAATGGCCTTCTTCAAAGATCTAGAACGAACTCTCCAAAAATTCATCTGGAATAAAAAAAGACCCCGAATAGCTGCAGCGATCCTGAGAAAGAACAAAGTAGGTGGGATCTCAATGCCAGATATCAAACTGTATTACAAAGCCACTGTTCTCAAAACTGCCTGGTATTGGCACAAGAACAGACATATAGACCAGTGGAATAGAATAGAGAGTCCAGAAATTAGCCCGAACCAATATGCTCAATTAATTTTTGACAAAGGAGGCATGAACATACAATGGAGCCAAGATAGTCTCTTCAATAAATGGTGTTGGGAAAATTGGACAGATATATGCAAGAAAATGAAACTAGACCACCAACTTACACCATACACAAGAATAAACTCAAAATGGATAAAGGACTTAAATGTACGACAGGAAACCATAAAAATTCTAGAAGAATACAAAGGCAACACAATCTCAGACTTAT